ACTGAATTTGGACACCCCTAATAACAACTATTAAACAACCCGGTGGTGGTGGTAGACCACGGCCGGGACACTAACAAACTATTAAACAATTCAGTAGATAACAAACTACTGAACATCCAGACAAACGTCATACATATTTAGCATACTTTACCGTCTAGAGGAAAGAAAATAAAAACATACGAGGAGGACAAGTACTAGAAGCAAAAGAAGAAGGGTTGCATTGTATCACAAATGAAAAACACCAAAGAGAGCTTCAAGGAGAGACAAATAACATTCTACTGCGCTGCTCATCAGTATAGTCGGCCCAGCGATAACCTAAAACAAACCAGGGTATTTTGGTTAATGACAAGTTTTACTTTGTAATCAAGAATCAAGAACAAGTAATTTACGTACCAGGTGGGCCCTCCCAGCCAATAGGATAATCATAAGCAGGATCAATGTCTTGATTTGGTTTGGGTTCAGTCACAACAGTTACATTCCATCCTCCCATGTCACTTCCATCAAGTCCCACAGCCTTCTTTAAACCTACCTTCTTAGAAGACTGGGTTGCGTACAGTCTTGTTCGACAGTCAAGTATAGGATCTCTCCACAGGATCTGAAAAGTCTAAACAATGCATTCAGGACATCATCCGCATGAAAGGAAGTGGGATATCCCTTGACGAAAAAGCCACAATCACTGCAATAATAAATAAACAAAAACCTAAAAGACAACAAATCAATCAATCTCCGGAAACAGTTAACAAAAGCAAATCAATTTACGGGGTGGTTGTGAGTCTGTGAGAAGCAGCCAACAGTTCAGGGCTAAACTTGCAGGATAGTTTCGGTACAGCCTTAACAAATACATCCCATCCTCCAATCTTCTTTCCAGGAAAGGGAAAACCCCACGGCCTTCTCTTGGGAGGCTTCGTCCAAGAAATATACGAAACCACATCTGTTAAAAAGAAACTTCTTAGCGCTATAGCTTTTAAACTACTTGGCTGCATGGGAAAAATACACAGCAAAAAATACTGGGATTTGTATATCGAATGCTACGATTTCAATGGCGGTTAAGCATAAGAAAACTATTTGGATGTGTAGTGATGTTGAAAGTGTTACTAGTGGTGTTGCTCCTAAAGCTTGTGATTTGCTTGATGGAGGAAATCAATCGGAGAAGAAGAAGAAGATGGTTGATGGTGGTTGTGATTTTCCGACTGTTGTGTTGGAGATTGAAAATGTTGTGCTTAAGAGTTGTAGTTACCAAATGAATTAGAAAAGTTGTAATTTTTATCTTTTGTTTCGATCTATGAGAAGAAGTTTGCATTTTACAGAGATGTGAACAAATCAATTTGAGATTCTGATGATGAAAACAGAGAAAACAGAGCAAAAGCTGTAGTAGCTTGAGGTGCAAGAAACTAAACATTTATATGACTAGAGATAATTTCTCTGCGAGATGTCTTTTATGAATCATTTACTTTGTATATATTAGATCTATAACCAATCTATTCGAGTATAATCATTTTTTTTTTTTAAAACCGTTTTTTAAGCTAGGAGCAATGGTGAATGAGGTGATATCAAGCTTGGTGATCTAACATGTTCCTCGTATATCATCGAAGAGAAACTCAGCTTGAGATTCTTTTGAAAACTCTTTCGTTTCTTGTTCTCCTTTTCTTTGTTGCGGTTACAAATATTGTTCTTGTTGTCTCCGTCTCCAAGCACAAAGTCTTTAATCCTCTGTAGTCCGATTTGGAGTGTGTCTTCGTCCATATTAGCGAAGCAGACTCTGAACCAACCTGGCTCAGAGCAGTGAAACGACGAGCCAGGAGAGACATTGATCTTCACCTTATGGATGATTACTTGCCAAAGAGCCATTTCAGACTCAAAGCTTTGATCTTTAAGCATTTTTCTCAAATCCATTAAGACGAATAAACCCGCGTTGCTTCTCAAGCAAGAAATCCCAATCTCTTCAAGCCCTTTCGTGAACATGTGGTGTCTCTTCGCCACTCTCTTCGACACCTCTACAAGAAAGTTATCGACAAAACTCTGATCGGACAACATAGCAGCTAGAAAACTCTGTGTTTGCGATGAGACCAATCCGAAACTCGACATCCTCCTCGCGCTAGACACAACATCATTATTGTACGAGTAAACCACTCCTACCCTGAAACCGGGAAGACCCATGTCCTTCGATAGACTATAAACGATATGTATCAAGTCGCGGTTGACATGGTCCATATCTTGGATGATCTCTGCGATACTGATGAATCTCGCTCCTGCGAAAACCGTGGCTGCGTAGATTTCGTCGCATACTAAATGGATTTGCTTGTCGTTGATGAAGCTGACAATGGTTTCAAGAGTGTCTCGATCAAGAGTTGTTCCAAGAGGGTTTGATGGGTTTGCGAGGATCAGGCCTTTGATTTTGATACCGGTTTCTTGGGCTTTAAGGTAGGTTGATTCTAGGGCTTGTTTTGTAACTTTGAAATTGTTTGAGCTGTTACACTCCACAGGGATTATTCTAACTCCGGTTCTCCACCTTAGGTCTCTGTCGAATCTACAATGTTTACATAAACCTTTTTTTATTAGTACTAAAGAGTAAGTCAACGGATGACCAAAAAAAAAAAAGAGTAAGTCAACCAAGTGTTAATTAATAGCTGACTTTTGAGAAGAGACAATGGACAATTTGATGGGGTTTTACTTACCAAAAATACTGAATCAATCAAAAGATTTTTTGTTTCGACTTTTTACCAGACAAAAAGTTATACATGTAGTAAGAAATATGAATGATATAAAAAAATATTTAAAATTCCTTTTTTGATTACTTTGAATGTAATACAGTATCTGAATTACTAACTCATGTATCATTTTTTAACAGTTAATTAGTAAAACAATATTTATTTAGATACGATATTTTTTTGGGTATACTGCGCTGGCCCCTCCCTCAACTTTCCTCATTCCGCTCCGATCCCCCTAAACTTTTGACCTCTCTATTTTTTCCCTTAAAAGTACATTTCTTCATATTTCCCCCTAAACTATTTAAACTCTTCAAATTTTCCAAAATCGAGATTACGTTTCATTAACCGAATATTAACTGATATTCGTCTAACTTAATCGCGTTTACAATAACCCGAATTTAGCTAAAATTCGAATCTTACCCCTATTTAAAATCCTCATTTTTTCACAGAGAGGGTTACAATACGGGTTATATCAAACCCGATTATGAACCAAGTTAATCTAAACGGTATTTTTTGAAACACAATTTCTGGTTAATTAAACGAAGTCAATYATTTAACTCGATTTGAGAAATTTTGAAGAGTTTAAATAGTTTGGGGATAAATATGAAAATATATACTTTCTAAAGAGGAGAAATAAAGAGGTCAAAAGTCCATCAAAACGGAATGTGAAAAGTTAAGGGGGCTTAAGAGCAGTCAGCCCTATTTTTTTACTAATGAAATGTGTGTAATAAATACGTACGCGGCATAATAAGGAGTCGGAACAAGAAAAGCATCGCCGGGATCAGCAAGACAGAACATGAGCGTCTCATTTGCTCCGGTGGCTCCACCGCTCAAGACGACCCTCTCCGCCTCAAACTTCACATTTCCGCCTCTTGCTCTCTCCATAAAAGTCGCAATCGCCTTTTATTTTCCGTCAAAAATAAATAAAAATTACAAAGAGAAATTCAATTTGGTAATTAGATGTCTTAATATATGTAAGTTAAACTACGAATTAGAGTACTTCAAACGAACTATAACGAATGATTACCAAACGAACTATATTGTTCATTGTTTTATATAACGAATGATTTACTATAAACGAATGATTTACTTTAAAGTAATCGTAAAAAATGAAATAAATACCTGTCTAAATTGTTTGAGACCGTGATAATCTTGAAAAATAGCGATATCGGAGAAACTTTCAATGCCCTCCGCCGTGCAAATAGATGCTTGTGGATTTGCCTTTATCCATTCTTTGATCAAATCAGAACAAAGCTGAAAACAAACACCACAATTAGAACAAACTAAAAAACTTATT